GATCTCCAAACTGATATCCACATTCAGGGGGTCTGGGTTGGTCCTATGCTAGTTTCCCAGATATCAGCTCTGGGGTCCATGAGCTCCCCCTTGTTCAGGTCAGCTATTTCTGTGGGTTTTGATAGAGACATTCTTAAAGTTCCTTGACTCTGTTTTAACCAAATGCACGAGCCCAGCCGCGCACATGTGTACACACACACCAGCAGCATCCAGGGTGCAAGTTTAGGAACCACAGCACAGGCAGACCCTGAGAATGGAGAAGAGAAGAAGGATCTGAGAGATGACCCAGAGCCTTGACGTGAGGTGCCTGGTGGGATTCCATTTCAGTCCCACGTGCCCAGATGCTTGTCTCCTTTGTCGGCACAGTCTGCCATTTCAGAGAGGGGGAGAGCAAAGCAGAGACCCAAACCAGGCAGTAGAGCCCTGGGAAAGCACCTAGTCCCTGCTATCCCCAGCCTCCATGAGTTGGCAAAGCACAAATGAACCACCGTGAAGTGTACCACTGTCATTTGACCACATGAATGAACCACCAATCCTCAATGTTGTGCTACCAAAGACACAATCTAATTCCAGAACATGTCCACCTCCCCCAAAGGAAGCCCGACACCCACCAAGCAACCATACCCCACCCCTTACCACACGCCCACGAATCTGCTTCTGTCTTAACGGATTTGCCTGTTCTGGGTGTTTCATACAAGTACAGATGCGGTTACATTTTACACTTGGATAATGTAGAATTTTACCCTAACAAAGCTTTATATTGTTACTGACGCTCAGGGCAAACTAGGATCTGAAGTGAGAGGTTTGTTCAGAGTCACTGGGTTTCTCTACCAGGAGAATAAAGAGGGGAAAGGAGCAATGATTTCCAGAAAGCAGCAGACAAACCCATTGCCTAGCACCTACTCAGCACCGTGATGAAGGTTTAACACACTTGTAAAATAAGTGACATCATGTCCTTTTCTTGGAAGTAAATTACTTGGGAAATATCCTCATTCCGTTCTGAGGAATTGAGAACATTTCTGCTTGGGCATTGGGTGCTCACAATATAATAGGCATCCATTAGCCCATGTAAGTGGATGAATGTGCCTGGTGACTGGAGGAATATCAAGCTATGACTCAAGCTATGGACAGGAACAAACTTGCCTGAACAGTTTTTGTTTACATTTTTAAATTTTAACTTCTTGTTACATTAAAAATTGTTCATGCATGTGGTTACTGTGTTATATTTCAAGACATGTGTGCATCATATAAATTAAGTCACGATAAATGTACTGGTCTCCTCACTTACAGAATGGAACACACTTAAATTTTTTTATTACAGCCAGGAAGTGGTGGCACATGCCTTTAATCCCAGCACTCAGCAGGCAGAGGCAGTTAGATCTCTGAGTTCAAGGCCAGCCTGGACTACTGAGTGAGTTCCAGGACAGCCAGGGTTACACAGAGAAACCCAGTCTTGAAAAAAACAAAAAACTTTTATTCTAATATCCATTTATATATTTTGACATGTTATTTATATATTTGACATGTTATTGCTGAAGATTTGAAATATGGTTAGATAATTTTTGATGATAAAAAGTACAAAAACTATAAACTAGTATACATATACATGTATATGTACATATATATGTCCATTTACAAATTTAGTATCCAGTTACAACTATTTACTGAATGTAGTCTTTTCATTTGAATCTCATTTTAAACGCTAGTATTTAAATAATAAAATCCTGTGAAATCTTAAAGGGATCCAGAGCAGTAGGCAAACTGCACATCCACTGAAGTCTTTATCCCAGAGGCTGGACATTTCATGAGTTCAGTTTTCAAAACCAGGATTCTAACAGCTGCCCATTTGTCTCTCTAAGCAGGAAAAGGAAAGACGCTTGACACTGAAATTCCGGAACGCATGTTTCTCCTGGAAAGTCCTCCTCTCTCAAGGAGCTCCCTCCCTCAGCATCCTTATTTCTCAGGCTCCCCTGAATGAGACCAAAGGAGCCACACGCTCCCCACTCACTATTACCTTACAAGTGGTTTGCAAACGCAGTCAATGTGCCCTGCTGTGTGTGTAGAAGGAGACTTTCTTCTGCTACAACACCCTCATCAGCAAAGTTCGGGGAGATGGCATGGAAATCAGCCAGACTTTATGCCAGAATCTCAGAGATTTGCCTCACAGCCAGAATTTCAATCGTGTCTGTGCTGCTAATTGGCCTATGAAAGGCTCTGTTGCCATGACTAAGTAAACAACATTCAGGGACAGTTATGATTAAATTGCTCGGAAGAGAGGAAGGAAAGGTGGAGAGCAGCCACTGAATCATTAGCAGAAGACATTTGCAGCCCTGAGTCTGGAACCTGGACTTAGAGGGATTTCCGAAGGAAGCGATTTCCTAATTCAGACAGGTCCTGTGAGCATAAGAGACAGGGAGGGGTGTAGAGACATAATGAGGACATCCTTTCCTAATCTGAAATGCTACAACAGATGTCAGAAAGCATAAAAGGACTTTAATGCTAAACTACTGCAGTGTTTCTAAGCGTAAGGGCCTTAAAAAGTGATTCCAGACACTCCCATCCCCCTACAGTCCCAGGCTGCAAACCCCTAGATCAAAGCTTCCTTCTTCTGAGTCCTCATGCCTGTGCGTGTGAGTGTGCTTGTGTATATATGTGTGTGTGCTTGTGTGTATGTGTGGGCGTGTTCATGTGTGTGTATGTGTACTTGTGTGTATGTGTGTTCATGTGTGTGTGTGTGACCCATGCAAACATAGGCACACTTTCACATTCCTGTGTGGAGGTCAGAGGTCAGCATCACACATCTTCCTCTATCGCTTCACCCTACCTTTTCCGAGACAGCACCTCTCACTGAACCTGGAGCTCACTGATTAGCTAAAAGGCCTAGCTCCTGAGCCTGAGGCTGCCCAAACCCACCACTAGGGGCAGCACTGCTCAGTCTGGTTTTCACGTGGATTCAGTGAGCACTGTACTCACTGATCCAGCTCCTCAGCCCCAGAGTCCCCACATTTCCTTACAGACCCAGTTTCCCATCTTGATTTTCTCTTAAGCCGCAGTTAGAACCAGCTGATCCTATGCCGACCATGAGTCAGATTTCTCCCTGAGCTGAAATCCAGCTTCTGAGTGTCGCAGCAATAACCCTGGAGATTGCTCACATTATGTTTACACTAGGACAGGGCAGGAAATTGCAGGATTAGAACTCAGGAGCCACGGGAACAGTAGTCACCACTGGTGGCAGGCTGATCTGCAGTCCCTATGCTCTTTTGCCTATGGCAGGGACATGTCCTATGCAACCAAGACCTCAAGAGCCAGATCTTCTTGTCCAAATTCTGACCTCACCATCTACTAGCAATTTACTTGATCATTCTGTGACTCAGTTTCCCTATTTGTCAAAAGGGTAAATTAGAACCTGAATCAAGTTGTTCTGAGCATTGAATGGGTTAGCCATTAGCATGTCCAACACAAGGTGGGCACCAAGCGGATTTGATTTCAGGAGAAAAGTATCATAGAGCCATCACTAGCAATCTTTGGGTGGGGATTAAGTGGAACCATAAGGCAGCCCACAAAGGGTAAGCATGTAATCATCGGTGGTTGTCATACATGTATGACTTCAGAAGGTTTAAAGGCAAAGGTGACGATTCTTGTCCATTTAAGAAGAAATGCTGTTACTGGGCCAATGTAGGATGCTGGAGGCTGTGCTAAGTGATGGCCATTTCAGGAGGCCAGCTCTCGAGCTGCTGAGAAAGCAGTTATAGGATCCAGTGTGCTCTGATCCATATGTGCACAGGACTCATAGAGACCCACAGCTAGTGCCTGTGATAAGGGTGTGGAGGAAATCAGGCAGGACTCCCTCCAGGAAGCCACACCAATGGTGTTAGCCAGATGGAGGAGACAGAGATGGAGAGGAGGCAGCCACATGCTGCCTGATGCTCTTTGAGCCTTAATGCATCTGGTGAGATCAAGTTAGTGAACGCCGGATGTTTTCCCACCCCACCCACAGCCTCCCTTGCCAAGATCAAGGCTCACCATTCGGCAGGCACTGCCCTTTCCAAGTTTCCCTGCCACCCTCTGCCCCTCCTCCAGCCTTCCACGGCTTCTGTAGGGAGCCAGCCTTTCAAACAGATGCTCACTAACACACCCACTTTAGTGAGGCCACTCGGTGAGTGAATATGAATGTTTCACAGGGTCACAACCAGAAAATACAGTCTCCAGTTGGTCACACTATTTTTGGAGGCCATGGAAACTTCGGGGTGGGGGAAGGTTGCTAACTGAAGGAAATGGGTCACTGGGTAAAACCCTCGGGGTTATCTCCTCCCCTGCTGATGGACGATGTCCTTCTGTATATATGTTTCTCTTATTGGTTAATGAATAAAACACTGTTCGGCCAATGAGGCAGGAAGATAGGCGGGACTAGGAGATGAGAATTCTGGGAAAGGCAGGCAGAGTGAGCCCGCTGCACAGAGTCCCCATGCTGCCGAAGGAGTAGCAACATGCTTGGGCATTACCGGGTAAGCCACAGCCTTGTGGCAATGTTTAGATTGATAGAAATGGGTTAATAATTAAGACAGAGCTAGCCAATAAGAAGCCCTAGCCATCGGCCAACAGCTTTATAACTAACATAGTGTCTGTGTGTTTATTTGGGGCTCAAGGGCCTCGGGACCTGCCAAGCTCACACCCTACCCTGCTACCCCCTCCCTCTCTCTTCACTTGTCCTTCCCCTCCCTTCCCGGCCTCCTCTCCTCTCCAGTGAGGTGAAGCATCCCCTTCACATGCTTCTGCCACCTCCTGTCCCAGAAACATGGAGCCAAGTGACCATGGACTGAGTACTTTGAACTATGAGCCTATATGTTCCTTCTTTGGCTTATTTATGTTAGACATTCCATCACAGCAATAAAAAGCCAGCACAGATCATCAAATATCTCCTCACTGGCAAGTATTCTATCTGGCCAGGAAGACTAAATCCCTCTTCCCTCCAGAACTTAGGTGTGTTCCTTGCCACACTGTAGCATCATATCTTGTTTATTTATTTTCAATGTCCAGTCCCAGTGAAGATACAAATCCTGCAACATCAAGGTTTTCATTTGATTTTGCAGTCCCAGAACCCCAAGCACACGGGAAAGACTTGATCAACTTGAGCTATTATTTCTCAGCTGAACAAATCTCCCTGAGTCCCCGAGTCAGTTAAGAGAGAATTTGTTTGAAGGCAGAGTCAATAAACTTGATCAAAAAATTGTTCAAAGCAGTCTTGTTCATGGAAAGGGCGATTTTGTTCAGCAAGTCAGCTTCCTCTTTCCTTAGCATCCCAAGCACTTGCTCTCTGAAACATACAGCCAAAAAGAAAAGGTAATTGGAACAAAGTGGACCTTCAGAGTTCCACATGCTTGTCAAATGTGTACCCCTGGTATCTGGGCATCTCTTGCCATCCTGTGAGCACTTATGGGCAGTCAGAGGAGCTAGCCTGAGTTTCTTTGCACAATAAATTGGAATAATTCTGCCTATGGACAAAGAATGAAATTTTTATCCTCTGTCATTTGTTAGGTAGGTATACAAAGTCAATTTAAGGAGGGGGTTTGCCTCAGCCCCTCCACACACACACACACACACACACACGCACACACGCGCTCACACACACGCACACACCACACACGCACACATGCACACACACGCGCGCGCGCACACACACGCACACACACACACGCACACACCACACACACAGATGGCGTCATGTAATGAGCCACTAGCAGACAGTCCTCGGTAGTAAAAGTGGGATTGACTCAGGCAAGAGTTTCCTACTACACGGCTCTCGAGGCCCCATTCACAGTGTGCGTCCTGCACACGGCACACCTGGAGCGTGTGGCGTGCCAGGAGACTGCAGTCTCTGCAGCTGTGTAGCACAGCACACTGTCAGCGGGACCTGGGTTGGCAGTTCAGAGTTCCCAGTTCAGTCATGCCTATGGGCCTGGGGACCTGCACCCTAAAGTGTGAGCCTGCCCTCCCCCTATGTGCTGACCAACACTGACATAGCAAGTACCTTGCTATGACAATGGTATGACTGACCCCATAGCCCCCTCTTCTCCCTTCCCAGTCTAGCTTAAAATGGTTAGGACTTAAAATTAGCAAAGTAAATTTCCTCCCTGGTTTGCCAGGTGGGCTGCTGAGCTGTTATAATGTGGCAGTGATCACAAAAGAAGAAGAAGAAGAAGAAGAAGAAGAAGAAGAAGAAGAAGAAGAAGAAGAAGAAGAAGAAGAAGAAGAAGAAGAAGAAATGAGATGAGCGTTAAGAACCTCACATAGATGTGCTCGTGTATAATTTTCTATAAGCTGCTAGCCCTCCACCCATACCTTACTTAGGCTGATCATTCTCAACCTGTGGGTCATGACCCCTTTGGCAGTCCAATGACCCCTTTAACAGGGGCCACCTAAGACCATCAGAAAACATAGATACTCACATTGTAGTAGCAGAATCACAGTTATGAAGTAGCAGCAAACATAATTTTATGGCTGGGGTCACCACCACATGAGGAGCTGTGTTAAAGGGCCACAGCATTGGGAAGGTTTCCACCCACCGCCTTTGGCACTTCATTTTAAAAATGAAGAGGTCTCACTTTTATCATTTTTCTCCCCCACAAGGAGCACCAGTTTTGTTCACATTCGCAAAGGTGCATACAGTCCGAATTATGAACAAAACTCCATTTTATTCCTATCTATACCGCTCTCTCTAGCCTTTCTTATTTCCCCAATTTGTGAGTCTTCTCTATTTCTCCATGATCTGGTTCCAGCTAGTTCTGTGATCTGGATACAGTTCACAAGTATTTTCTTGGCATCTTCTGGTACCACTGATCTCAGGGGTAGGAGACTTAGGCCTCTGCTGCGAAGATTCCTTTACTTTCTTGTTATTTTCCACGGAAACTGCCCTGACACCCGGCACAGGTATCATATGCACACACAACCCTGAGGTGAGGGATTTCCCTCGTCATTTATTTCTGCTGTGGTGTGCTGTTTAGCCTCAGGCCCAAAAGTCACAGGAATGGCTGAGCACGGACTCAAACCCTGAAACTCTCCAGTCACACTAATGCTGTTCCCCTGGAAGGTGACTGGTGTCAGGAGTCTTCTCACAGGGATGAGAGCTGACTGATCACAAGTGATGATAGAGAGAGAGGTCTTTAAAAAATTCCTGGGCTCAAATTGCCATTATTTGAATTAAGAACACACATTCCTTTTTGTTTGTTTATTAGTTTTACTTTTGTATGTGAGACAGGGTCTCACTATGTAGCCCTCACTATAGGCAAAGTTTCCTGCCTAGATTGCCAATCAGCTCTGTCCCGCAGGCTGCTCCCCAAATAACCACATGGAGACTAATTATTAACTATAAATACTTGGTTGATAGCTTAGGCTTGTCTCCAGCCAGCTCTCACAACTTAAATCGACCCAGGTCTACTAATCTATGAGCTGCTCCAGACTCCTTTTCCTCATCTATGAATTTCCCATGTTTGCTTCTCCCACATCGAGCTCAAGACTCCTCCGATTCTGTTCTCCTCCTCCCAGTGTTCTCTCTGCCCCCAAAATCCTGCCTAGCTGTTGGCCAATAGTTTTTGATTAACAACGAGAGCAACACATCTTCACAATGTGTAAAAGGAATATTCCACAGCACCTCACTGGCCTGGGAATCATTATGTAGAACAGACTGACCACAAATTCGAAGAGACTGACTCTATGTCCTAAATGCTGGAACCGGAGGCATGTGCTAGCATGAAGCTCTAGGGAGGCATGCACAAGGACTATGTGGGATACATATAGTGGTGCCCAACAGACAGTAGCCTGGCAAAGCAAGTTACAGTCAGAATAGACACATTTGTAAAACGTGTAGGTTCATGTGAGAAGTTCCACATGTAAGATCTTGGAAGGCAGTGTGGAGTATATAGTAGAGCTATTTTGCCTTCTGCTTTTCATCATTCTGCACAATATAAGTTACTTTACTCAACAGCTTGTACTACTCTCATAACTGAAATTAATTCAACAGAGGAAAGGTACTGAATGCTTCCCAGGGGATTCTGCTGATCACCCAAGTTCAGAGACCATTGCACCAGGCAAATGAGATAAATTCCATTAGTTTAACTTCTCAGTTAAAAGAACTAAGATTTCCCTCCAGATACAAGTTCTTCCAATTACCCTGTACCCACCAAGCCTCCAGAAATACCAGCAAACTGGGAGTCCTTGTCTATGTAGTAAGTAACCAGAGATGATGAGGGGTAGGGAAAAATAAAACAACGAATTGAAAGTTGGAAATGGAAATGGAAGGGGGGAGGAAGTAAAACCATCTACAAGGACAGCAGACTAGAACATTATATTTCTACTCACCACCTACACTTTCCAGGACACATGATAGTTTGTCTCACTCTGTTGAGTAAAAGATCCATAAAGCAAACTAAAGTTTATACTCCAATTTCTTCTGAACAGGCTAAATTTTAATGGTCAAGTGACCAATATATTGTATTTCTCGTTGCAACATGCAATTGTTAATCATTTCAATGTCTGTCTTAATGAAATGAACTGGGTCAGCCCCAAATAGAAAGTTCTTTAATATTCCATAGGCTGAGGGTGTGGTTCAGTTGGTAGAGGGCTTGCACAAAGGTCTGGACTAAATCTCCAGTTCTGCGTAAGACTGGGCCTGCTAGTGCACACCTGAGCTCTCAGCACTTAGGAGGCTGAGGCAGGAGGATGATGATTTGCTTCCTTGCTTCTTTTGTTCTCTAGTGGAGGAGAGCTGAAAGGAAACAAATGAGCAGGGCCCAGCGGAGACAGCTCTCAGGGAGATGGTTAAGCCTTACAACTCCACTTTATTCCAGGAAGAAAAGGGAATATAATGGGTGGGGCAAGGGCAGGGGCATCATCTAATTGTCATCTAATAGCACAATCCTATCATAGGCTCCTAGTATGTGCAGTGAAGAAGGCTTCTAGCAGGGATCTACGTGAAGGTCCAAGCTAAAGATAAGTCAGGCATCTGATTTAGAGACAGATTTCAGATAAGGTCAGTCTTCCAGGCCCAGGGGCATTCTCCAGATAAAGGCAGGTAGGAGCAGGAAGTTCTACTGAGGGACAAGCCATTGGGATAAGCTGCCAGGCAGTGGGAAGACTGTGACCTCTTCCAATCAGCAAAAGTTCAAGGTCATCATCAACTGCATGGGGAGCAGAGACCCCGGATGACCCGCGCAAAGTCTGCAGTTTAATATTCCACATAAAACTCCTCTGCTGCTATTCAAGATAGATGGTGATGATGCTTCTCCAACCTTAAACTGTCTTTGAGAAACAAACTCCCATGTGCAATGCAGGTGATTTCCCTGCTGTCATTTGAGAAGAGGGAACCTCAAATGAAAGAAATGGCCCCACCAAATTGGCCTGTGGACACGTCTGTGGGCCATTTTCTTAAGGCCACTGTGGGTGGTGCCATCCTGGGCAGGTGGTCCTAGATGGAGTAAGAAAGCAGGCTGAGGAAGCCATGGGAGCAAGCAGTCTTCTTCCATGGTGTTTGCTTCAGTTCCTGCTCCCAGGGTCTTGTTTCCAGGGTCCTGCCTTGACTTTCTGCTCTGACTTCCTTTAAGGATGGTTATACTGTTTACCAAAGCAATAGCAACCCTAATTAGGACACCTACCATACCGTGACCACAATAAGCACAAAAAATGGCCTTCAGCAAAACAACTAGGGACAACCATTAGGAAATGTCCAACTTATTTTCTTGAGACAGAGTCTCTCATTGTCTTGGAACCTGCCAAACAGGCTGGACCAACTGGCCAGTGAGCCCAGGAAGTGCCTGGCCACCTGCCCAGTGCCGGGACTACATGTTGCCCCCACCCCTGGCCTCCTTAGGTGGATTCTGGATAGTGAACTCAGATCCTTGAAATTACCAGGCAAGCCGTTTACCATCTGTGCCGTCTCCCAAGTCCCTGGGTATATACTTTGAAAAACTGTTAGTTTTATTTAAATGTGTGTTACTTATGAGCTACACTTTTCCTGTCATAAATCAGTTCACTCTCCTGTCCCTAAAAATAGATGAAATTATCAGTTTTAGGGTCAAAACAGACAGCAGCTACTCAGTCATGAATACTAACAATAAACACCCTTGAAAGCAAGACGCAAGACCTCATGGTGCAGATTTGTTTAAGGTGCCCCCTGGAATTGCCAGAGAATTTGTGACATCACATATTCTGTACCCTGCTCTGTCCAGCCCTTTGGACTGCTACAAACAAACATGTATGTGGGAGCATGTATTTTCTTCTACTCAATATCCATACTCCAAGAACTAACCCACACCTATTGTTGTCCACTTTATCAGTGACTTCTGATTACAATATTAGAGTAGGCACATGACCTTTCAGAACATCCCAGGTTAGCTACTGCTATACTTTGAATGTAATTGGCCCACATAAGTTCATAGGGAGGGGCACTATTAGGAGGTATGACCTTTTTGGAGGAAGTGTCATCGTGAGAGCAGTCTTTGAGGTCTCCTATGCTCAAGTTACACCTAGTTCAGTTCACTTCCTATCGCCTGTGAGTCAAGGTGTACTAACTCTGGTTCCTTCTCCAGCACCATGTCTGCCTGCATACTGCCATGTCCCACCATGGCGATAATGGACTAAACCCCCCAAATGGTAAATTACCCTATTAAATGTTTTCCTTTATAAACGTTGCTGTGGAACTGGTGTCTTTTTCACAGCAATAAAAACCCTGAGACAGCCATTTGGGGTGGCTTACATGTGTAAGCTCATAAGCCTGAGGCAGGAGGACTGCTATAAATTTAAGGCTGGCCTGAGATTCATAGTGAATCCAATGTCAACCTTGACTAAAAAGTGAAACCCAATCACAAAAAGTCAGTTCTGGACTGGTGGATGACTCCATGGGTAAAGGCTCTTGTTGCCGAGCCAGAGCACCTGAGGACCCCTGGAGCCCATGTGATGGAAGGAAGCAACAGACTTTCAAAGATTGTTCACTAACATCTGCATAAACCACACACACACACTCTTGAAAAAGAAAACAAAAAGCAAGCAAATAAAATCTACTGTCCTCTTGATCGTTTGGTTTCTTTATTATTATAAAATCACTATTGTGTTTCTTTATGACTGATTATACTTTTGCTGAGGGATCTATCTAATAGGTCATTTATAACAATAAATGTATCCAGAGTAGTGAATACCAGAATTTGTATGAATTAACAACTTCAGAGCTTTGGTTGGAGAGAAGTACCAGGAATAAGTGTCAGGCATTTATTTTTGTGGAAAGTGACCCTGGGAATTGCCACTGACCTCCATTCCTATATTGAGGAATACAGGCTTACATTTTTCAGATGCTGACCAATCCTAATGGCATCCATGGGCATTAAATACAGCTCTCCACTACATACCAATAGTGAATCACATTCTTCCTCTTAAAATAGTTTAAATTGTTTTACTGAAGTTGGAAAGATGGCTCAGAGGTTAAGAGAGCTCTGCTTTCCCAAAGGACCTGAGTTCAGTTCCCAGCAGTTTCAAGCACCATATCAGGCCCCTTACCTGTAACTACAGCTCCACAATGTACTAGAGCATTATGGTCTACAGCAACAGATCCATGGACTAAAATGTCCAAAACCATGAGCCAAAATGCCTTTTTCTTCTTTAAGTTGGTTGCTTTGCCCCTACATTGTAGTGTCTCTGGTATGGAAAGGTACTCCACAAAAGAGAAGTGTAAACACCAACCCAGCCACAAAACCTTTGATTTACAGTTCTGTCCTTCCTAGAAAGTATGTTAGCCCAATGAAGACACAGAACTGGTGGGAGTAACCAATGCCAAATTTGGCTTAAGGCCCACTCCACAAGATGGAACCCAAACCCAACATTGCTTGAGCGACCAAGAACCAGACTAGATAGCCCAGAGACCTAGGGAAAAACCAAACACTGCTGGTCTTAAAAAATGAAGAGGAAGTAGTGATAAAATGACTCCTGACACTCTGCTATCCTCATAGATCAGTGCCTTATTCAGACATCATCAGAGCAGCAGATGGAAACATGCAGAGACCCCCAGCAGAGAGAGAAAGACTTTAGAACACACACCTCTAAATGGGACTTCTCCATCAAATCCTGACCCTCAGGGTTCAGGGAACCCAGAATAGATGAGGCAGAAAGATTGTAAGAGCTCAAGAAGATGGAGTGCAACAGAAGAATAAGTCCCTCCTAATCAACTGATCAAAGGTCATACGAACTCACAGAGACTGAGGCCTCTGCACAGGGCCTGCAGAGGTCTACACCAGGCTCTCTGCATGTATGTTATAGCATTCAGGTTAGTGTTTTTGTGAAACTCCTGAGTGTGTGAACAAGTGGGTCTCTGATCCTTGTGCTTTCTCTTGGGCTCTTTTCCTTCTGTGGGTTTGCCTTGTTCAACTTTGATAGGGTTTTTGTCATATCTTATGTTCTATTTTGTCATGTTTGGTTGTTATTTCTTAGAAGCCTGTTGTGAAAGGGAAAAACAAAAGTAAAATAAACAGACTACTGAATAAACTAAAAGAAAAGGCATATCCTGTCAAATTCCTGTCAGCTTCACAAGGATTCTTTCTGTTCTTTCTCTTATTACCCAGCCTTGATGTCTAAGGAGATCTTTTCTAAGATGTTGTCTCCCCATCTAAGCCACACAAGCCAAAATGACATTTCAGAGCCCCTGCACATTCATTTCCTGGAATTGCATATTCTAGGTGTCACCAACTCTACAAGTCACAAATACATTCCAATATCGGTCCATATTTCCAGTTTGCGCAGATGAATCCATTGTGAACACACGGTCATCCTGTCCTATGGTCACCTCTTCTGCATCATTTCAGAAGTAGCTCACACACCACTAGCTTCTGTGATGAATAAATCCCTGAGTCTCAGTCATGTGATGCATGAAGCCTCATGAGGAAGACACTATCTGCACGGTTGGTGGCCACCCTCTGAGAAACACTTTCACTCTTCAAGTATTCGAGAGCAGGTTTTCTCTGCTCCAGCAGCTCCCATGTGCCTCACCACCACCCCTTCACCCTCCCCTGCCTGTTTCCCATGGCCTCTTCACTTGGCTTGGAGCCAAGGTCTGCTCTCACTGCTCAGCAGCAGATGGCATGCCCAGTATGATTATACCCTGGATTTGATCCTTAGCAATGCAACAACAAAAATCTCAAGAGTTTTGAGCCCATGTAATTTTATATATATATATATATATATATATATATATATGTATATATATATATGGGAGCAACTAGCTTAGGGCCCTCTACCTAAGTCCATGGTTTTCCACGACTGATGCTATGGCCTCATAATCCCCAGGAAGAAATAAGTGACCTCTCTCAAGTGTGGCAGCCTACAAGCGTGGGAACATTTGGGTTGGTGCCAACCAGGGCTATTAGTTCACTCTTAAACATAACCATATCTCTGTACTCCCTACCGCCGGTTGCTCTGCTTGTCCCGTGTCTACCTTTCCTGCTCCTACCTAAGTAGTGGCTACAATCCAAGCTGACAGTGGAATTTAAGGAGAAAAATAGAACATTTCAAATAAAAAAAAAAGGAACACTCAACAGTGACGTCATGAACAGCAAAGCTGTGGAGAAGGGACCTGTTCTGGGGACAAGCAACAGTTGGTAGTCAGAAACAATTCCAAGTTTCTAAGACTCATAAAAGTAAGTTAAACACTTGTAATAATAATAACTGTATTTTCATAAGCATTGGCACACCAAGATAAGACACATTAATAGAATACAATAGGAAATCTATAAATCGCCCCAAAATTATAATACAATTTAAGACTCTCAAAAGGTGGCATTTCAAATCAATAAAGCTGGAGTGACAGCTCAGCAGTTAAAAGTGCTAACTGCTCTTACAGAGGACCAGGGTTCAATTCCCAACACCTCTATCAGGTGGCTAGTAACCACCTGTAACTCCAGTTCCAGGAGATCCGAGAGCTGCACCCCCACACACAGGGCACTGACATACACTCAGGCTCAGGTGTGCAAGCGTTAAATAGAAAACCTAAGTCTTCAAATCAATAGGAAAAGGAGTGAGTACCTCAGCATATGGGTGGAGGACAGCTGGGTAGACATTTGTAAAAGTGAAGTTGAGTGTCTCCGGTAGCACTGGACTGAAATTTGGAGGAGGAGCTTTTGTATATGTTGAACATGAAAGTTTTGCTAAATAAAAAACAGTTCCCAGAAGCTGAGGAAAAAAATGAAAATTTTTTATTTTTCATAAGACAAGCAACAATTTTGTGGGATGTGGTATTACTTGAGGAGGAAGATAAAACAGGCAAAAGTGCATGGCTGAGATGAAGACCGTTTGTGTTGACATGGCGGACTAACGCCTCCGCCCGTCTACAACAGGGCGGTGCACCAGTTCCGGAAGTTTTGTAATTCTTAAGCTATTTCAAGATGCAAAGGCTGTTTTTTAATGGAATCTATGTACACATGCAAATACACACATTTGGGTGTATCTGTGTGTGACAGCATAAAATATCAGGAGGGGGAACCCTTGACCAGCTGACAGAATTGATCTTGCCTAGGATGGGAACTGAGTGGCACTGATGGAAGGAATCATTCGGTTCTTCATAAATTTAAAACTCTTATTTTCAAAAGACAGCTCTTCACAGAAGGCTCTCAGTAGTGACATTGCACACCGCAAACAGAGGAAGAGAACACATCCTCGAGGAACATTAGGTTTCCAGCCCTGGTTTCTTAGAATGTGATTGGCAGCCCTGAGAACCAGGTCCCCTCAGGCTCGGGAAGGAACGCGCCTACCTTCCCCAGGGCTCTCTTTGTTCTTTCTCTAAGAATGTTTTTCTGAGATGAGCATTTTATAACAATTTATAACATAGAGTACCTAGCACAGGGCTCAGCGTGAAGGAAGCAAACTCATCAAGCCAGCTTTCTCCCTTTCCAAGGTTATTGATATCCTCCCCCCCCACACACACACACAGCTTTCATATTACCGGAGGAAAGACATGGTGGTTATTTTATTTGGAAAGTGAGTCTTCTGTGTGTTTTGTGAACACAGGAGATTCATATCTAACTTCTTTATTATGTGGCTTAATTTGTTTCAAAAGAAGCAGGAAATGCTTGTGACATTGACAGAATAATCCTTTAAATGGGAGGAGGTGAGGGGGTGCTTATATGTAAGTATTTTCAAGTAAAATATTATCTTAGACACTAATTCTCCCTAATGAACTTTTAAAAATCAGCTCTATTAATAGCTTACATAGAGTCGGCATTCCTTCCCAGTGCTGTCTATTATGTTAAGAGAAGCTTTTTCTTTGCTAGCCGCTTTGGTTTATCCCCCGCCAGCCACCTGGGCTCTGCCGCATTGTAGTCCCCAAATAAACACACAAGACACTGTATTAATTATGAAGCTGTTGGCCTTGCTCGTTTCTTACTGGCTAGCTCTGACTTAAGTATTTACCCCATAATTGTTAATCTAAGTATTTCTCTTACCGGAGAATAGTTCCGGGCTTCCTACCCCATGGCGGTTACATGTCAAACTCCTGTGTTTCTCCTACCCAGAGTCCTTCTGGACTCCTAGTCCCACCTCTCTTGGTTCCCTATAGGCCAGCAGTGCTTTATTGACAAATGCACAGGACTTCCCCCCAACAGTCTATAAACCGAGGTTGTTGCGTGGACAACTGAGAGCAGCCGGGGGACTCTTTTTCTATAGAGAATGGAATGTAAATTTCCGGCCAGGGGGAGCATTTCACTTTGAAATTGAATGCAAGAGGCAGCAGAGGGCATTTAAAAGCTCATGTTGGCCTTCGCTATTTACAGTCTTAAATATACACCCCAGCTAATACTAGTGAGTAAATTATTGGTCCATAAGGCTTTTTAATGAGATTAAATCTTCACCAGCTGGAGACCATGAGCCTCAGACACTCCTTAGCAAGAAAAGATTTCCTCCTGTCTCAGTTACTTTTCTGTTTCTGTGATAAAACGCCCCGACGAAAGCCACTTAAAGGGAAAAGGGCTTCTTTAGCTCACAGTTTGATATGATGGTTCTGTCACAGCCAGGAAGAAGCAGTATGTGCACATCGTGGGGAAGCAGGAAGCTAAGTGACCACACTTATATCCACACTCAGGAAACAGAGGGTGATGCAAGGCCCACCCCCCAATAACCCACTTTTTCCAACAAGGCTCCACCACCTGCCCAGACGACACCCCAGCTGGGAACCAAGTGTTCAAGCCTATGGGAGATTTCACATCCAAACCAAAGCAATCCCAGAGAGCCTGGGGAGACCTGGCCCTGAAGGATGCAGCCATCAATCCCTACTCCCTCGCTCAGCACCCACAACCAGCAGCCTAGCTTTGTGATGGACAATCGCATCTCTCAAGATGAGTGTGGGACTCATCTTGGATATCTCTCTTCTCTTCACCCTCTGCAGTCAGTGAAGGAGACCCTCTCGGACAGCGGCAGTACTCTCCTGGACCTCAGATTAGGCACAAACCCCACTCAAACCCTTGTTTTTCCCAGAGTCATTTTTAAGAAGAGAAAACCAGGAGGTCTGTGTTAGAATGGGCTAGAATGTGGCCGTATATTTTGATCGGGCATGTTAATTAGGTGAACCAAAGGGGGCTTCAATGGCTGGATCTTGGTAGTCAGCCTCGGGAGGAGGAAGCTGCCAAATAAGGGAATAGACTTTGTCAGCTAGCTTTAGGAATGTCATCTAATGGTTTTTTTTAGCAAGGCAGAGGGACTGGGGGAGAAGGGCAAGGCCTGCCAGAGTCAGGCTCACCGTGTTCCAGCCGACTAGAGTCCCTCAACCAGTCAGCCAAGCACGAAGCCCTTCCTCACGAGGCTACAGTGCAGAACATCCTGCCTTTGAGATCCTCGCTGCCCTGCATCTCCTTTATTCAGACCCTCCTGCCTCGACCTCCCAAACGCTAGGGTAACAGTCCCATCTTCTGTTACCCCACCTGTCTCCACCACTGACGCCATCACCTGAAGGGACTCTAGACCACTTGAGCACGTGGGTATGGCAGGCCTTGCCCTTCTCCCCATCCCTCAGCCTTGCTAAAAAACTGCTAAGTTACATTGCTAAAGCTAGTCACCAAGGTCTACTCTCCTATTTGGTCACTTCCTGCTCCTGAGGCTGACTACCAATGTTGGTAGTCAGCAAACAGAAGCCCCCTTTGGCTCACCTAATTAACATACCCAATTAAAACTAAACACCTCATCCTAACATGGGTTCCCATTTTACCTTTATAAGCCGCCTTTTGCCTATGTGCCATGTCTGTCTCCCATCCAGAGGCAGTCCTCTGGGCCCCCTGGGACAAATATCCCTGCCCTTTCTCTTGTCCCCTTCCCCTCTGTCCCCTGTCTCCTTTACCATAGCACATTAGCCCGTTCTAACACTGATTCCCCCCTTCTTCTCTAAGAGTGACATCTCTGTGAAAACAGGTATTTTGCAGTTTGTAACTAATTCGGGTCGTGAGGGAGCCCCCTGCGGGAGTCCACATCTTCATTGACATCTGATTCTTTATAACTAGACAATGCCAGTGATAACCTCCCCTCTTACAGTGTCTCAGAACAGCACAGTAGGGGACCCTGTTTCATTCCCCAAGTTTGCCAGTCCTTCCTGAACCTTTGTTTTTGTTTTGCATTGAGACTGGACTTTTGTTTTGGTTTTTAATTTCCTTTCTGTTGCTAGAGTAAAACCCTCTAACCAAAATCGACTTAGGGGAGGAGTGGATTTATTTCAACTTACAACTCCCAGATCACAATCTATCACTGAGGGAAGTCAGGGCAGGAACTGGCTGATTCACCCTCTTGTTCACATTGGTTCATGTTCAGCTAGCTTCCTTACACAGCTGGGCTTGGTGGCTCACACCTATGGTGGTTGAGAGGCTGGAGGATTGCTGTGAGTTACAGGTCAGCCTGGACTACACAGTGAATGCTATGATTCCTGCTCAGTCTTGACTACACTGTGAACTGCAGGCTGTCCCAGACTACCTAATGAATAAGCACTCCCGTGTCAGTGTCTGTGGTTCTAATTCCCACCTCTCCCCAGGATGCTGTAGCAGTTTGGAAGCAGTGGTTTCTTGCTGAGTACTTCTTGGCTGCTTTCTTCCCCTCAGCAGCCCCAGACTGAATCCTCACTCAATCTTCTATTTTTTTCCCCAAAATTGCACCCCCACACTCTTGAATGCTGAGACCCAAGCCTGGAGTTCACTGACTTCCCCTGAACACTAGTCTTGCACACTGTCTTTCCCCATTGTCTTGTGCTAAATCATCGTTCCAGCTTTTTTTGCTTTGCTCTGTGTTGCATCCCTTTCTTCAGAACTGTTAAAAAAAACTGCTTCTTCCTCACTGCTCTCTTGGACTTATTATCTTGTCTCTAACACTTCACACTGGTGTCTGTCTGTCTCCTCTCTGTGTTTATCATTGTAACTTGAAAGGAAAGAGCAACAGGTTCCAGAAAGGTTCTGACATGGAATTAGACCCTCAGTAAAGCTTTATCAGGAGAGGGGCCTTGGAGGGGAGAGTAGTCCTTCAGATCCAAAGAGGAGTCATAGCATGTGTGAGCACTGAAGACCGAACCAGACCCTCGAGATCATCACATCAGCTGAGTAAGTGTCATGGTCGTAGACAGACATAATGGGCCCTTCAGGTACACAGAACATAAGCGGTCTAAGTCTTCTAGGTTTTCAGGGGGTGAGCAAGCTTCCTGCCATGTCATCTAGTCTGGGCCAAGGAGCACAGAGGCAGGCTTGGGGGTTGGCATAAGCTTGCATGTAGCCACCAGAAGGAGGGCCTGCAGACCCACCATAGCAGAGTCTGGCTTTCTTACCCACTGTGTTCAAGAGAAAGCTGCAGGAGGGAAGGAAACAGTGGCAACGGAATCTGTCACCTGTCATTTATTGTTTGATTCTTTAGGAAGCAGAACTTTACCCGACTCCACTGCAACTGTAAACAAAAAACAAAACAAACAACACGATAGCTTCTGTGCATGCAACTCTCTGCTTCCTAGTCTTATCCTTACTTTATAATTTAGACCCTAGGCACGTCAGAGGAGATGGCTTTCAGCTATAAATAGCAAACTTTACCCAGGCTTGACTGGTGAGTTGTTTATTTTTCTGACTGAATAATAGGTCCAAAGTCCAGAGAATTACCTAGATCTTCCTGTTTCCCTCCTCCATGTTCCTGGCATGGTGACTGTGGCCTTTCCAAGA